TAGAAAGAAAAAATTTGGACCATTTCTCGATTTATGCGTGTCATCCTTGCGCAGGGGCCATGCTAATCTTCTTTCTCTGTATCGTTCCGATTTTAACGGATGTCCCGAGGGACCTGTCAGTTCTTTTCTCTCTCTCTCTTTTTTTTTTTTTTTTTTGTTTCTAAAAGTGCACTCTTTCAATTGATAGATGTATGATAATATATACTGGACTAGATTGACCTGTTCAAGTCAAAAAAATACAGGATTCGTCATAGTCTTCTCAACCTTCTGTGAAAGGCCTCCAAGGGAAGGAACAACGGAGTCATGTGTCTCTGTCTAGACAATTCGTCATGAACTTGAAGAGACGGTTTCAGAGGCCCGCGCTTGTGGAGGTGGTATGGCCAAAGGTGACCAAAAAGATGTCCGCATTTGTATGAAACAGTGTTATGCATACTTATGCCCCTCATTCTTGGCATCGAAACCTGTGGTTACCTGACTTCATGCAATTGGGATTCATTCCAGATTGAACTCTGGTTGTTCCTGAGCAGCAGTGTGTTACGATCTGACTCGAATTCGAAAGCAATTGCTCAACTGAAAGACAATGCCAAATTGAGGAATGACAAGCCATCCACTTGCGAGAGAAATGAGCGAACTTGGGAGAGAAGAAGAAGAAGAAGAAGAAGAAGAAGAAGAAGAAGAAGAAGAAGAAGAAGAAGAAGAAGAAGAAGAAGAAGAAGCAAGAAGAAGAAGCACCAAGAAGAAGAAGCAGCAAGAAGCAGCAAGAAGAAGCAAGAAGAAGAAGCAAGAAGAAGAAGCAAGAAGAAGAAGCAGAAAAAGAAGAAGAGCAAGAAGAAGAAGCAGAAAAAGAGGAAGAGCAAGAAGAAGAAGCAAGAAGAAGAAGCAGAAAAAGAAGAAGAGCAAGAAGAAGAAGCAGAAAAAGAGGAAGAGCAAGAAGAAGAAGCAGAAAAAGAGGAAGAGCAAGAAGAAGAAGAAGAAGAAGAAGAAGAAGAAGAAGAAGAAGAAGAAGAAGAAGAAGAAGAAGAAGAAGAAGAAGAAGCAAGGAGAAGAAGGCGCAAGGAGAAGAAGGCGCAAGGAGAAGAAGAGCGAGGAGAAGAAGAGCGAGGAGAAGAAGAAGAAGAAGAGCGAGAAGAAGAAGAAGAAGAAGAAGAAGAAGAAGAAGAAGAAGAAGAAGAAGAAGAAGAAGAAGAAGAAGAAGACCAGTGTAGTCCAAACTCAACTCCCCCCTTCCTTTGTCAACACCTCCAACGCCACCAATCTCCCCGAAGAACTTCAATTCAACGACAATAATAATAATAATAATAATAATAATAATAATAATAATAATAATAATAATAATAATAATGAAAGAATGAGCCGAGATCAATGTCTGATTCCACTCCTTACTGCTGCCACCACATGAGGTCCACCATAGCCATGGCCTCCATCTTCCTCCACCTTTCAAGGTGGATGGCTATGGTGGACTACCGGGACCAACCCCGGTGTTCAAAGGACGATGCAAGGCCCATGAGCCTCCCTTACTACGACTGCCATGCCTAAACTAAAGCTTGAGTGTCTTGGTGCAGCGCTCCCCACATTGGGGTCTTCAGGATGCAGCACCCACTGGAAGATGAAGGTGCCGAATTCAGGTAAGTACCCTGGTCACTCTCCCCCATAGCCTCCTCCTTCCTCCTCCTCCTACTGGTTACCTTCCTTCATAGCCCACGTGGGGTGCTGGTCTCCTTCGTCTCCCTGCAGCTGCTCTTGCTTAGTGCAGCACGACCTAGCGCTCCAGGTGCAGTAGCACCCGTTCGCATACCGCACAAATGAGGCAGAGCATCAAGTGCCACTCCAATTTATACTGGATGGACTCGGAGCGGTGACTTTCCCTGGCCGCTCAGCCTCCCAAGCAACCGGTACCTCCTCTGTTTCGGAGGGAAACATCATGGAAGAACTCCTCCATTTCGGAGGGAACATCATTGCAGACCTGATACCGACTTCGGGCCTCAGACCCAGCTACCGTACTCCTAAGTTCTACGCTAGACCAAAAGGTACCAACTTTTGTCTTCTTCTGCTCAGCCTACGACCACTTGAGTGCTGCCGGCCTGTGCCACTTCCACTTGAGGGTGCCCTAACCTACCCCTCAGCTACCGCTTGGCTACTTGAGTGTTTTCCCCGCTGCAACCCCCACTGCCCTCACTGCCACGACCACAAGTAAGTACCAGGCCCGCGGGCCATTCCAAGCACACAAGTACCCAGGCAGGTCACACACACATGCAACACTCAGACAATCAGACAAGCATGCAGAAACCAGCAAGCATACACACGCACAGACTTAGAAATCTCAGCAGAAAGTGGAAACCTCAGCAAAGTACCCATTCCAGCGGCAAAACTCAGAAAGCAGCACGGTTCCCAGTCTTGAGATTTTGCAGGTAATTACAAGTGAATGGTTTTTGCCATCAGATCAACCATAATTTTTTTTTTGGCTTAAAAGTTAAACAATAGGGATTATAGGGATATATAAAAAAGAGACTCAAGACGTTCATCACATAGATTTTTTTGGAGATCTTTTTGGATGTAATGTAGGTAAACATTTGGCAGGCAAACGTGTGGCAATGCTAGGGGAGAAAAAAAGAAGGGAAAAGTGCATTACCAAGTCACTCAGGTTAGGACACGACAAAACTTGCCCAGTCAACAAAAATAGCTGGATGATCTACGCCTGGACATGGAGATATTTACGTGCATGCTGACGAGGCTAATTTTTTTAATCCTGTCACTGGAGACAGGTTGTTTCTGCCCTTGACATCCCCCCCCAAAGCAGAAAAACTTGAAAAAGAACAACGAGGTGCAATCTCTAAGCTCCAGTAAGCAGTCCTTATGTGAACTTTCTCAATGTATGAACGTGCCAGCACGCCGACCTCAAGGATCCAATTCCAAGGACATGCTGGTGTGCACAGACGCCATGGCGACTTCCATCAACGAGAAGTGTTTACAGGCAGAAAAGAACCTGTGGGCGAAAAGGGGCAGCTCAGCGGAGGAGACCGATACGCACTGGCATGTGGTCTTCCAAGACTTGCACTGCAATGTTACATTCTCACTCTCTCTCTGTGTCTCTATGTCCGTGCCCCCTCACCTGCTCACCCCCCTTCTTTCCCCTTCTTAACCCCCCCTTTCCCTGCTTTGCAGGATGTGAAAACGTCATATTCAAAGTTCAAACTGGATCCGGCGCTGACCAACTCCGAAGAGAGAACAGAACAGACTGAGAACAGACTCTAGGTTTGAAACTGGAGGCTATGAAGTAACTCCCATTTGGACTTGCACCCATATGTGTTGCATGTTCCCTGCTTTCCTTCATGGTACTGTTGTTTACCAGAGGATATTGAAAGCCAGCTCACTCTCAGCTAGTGATTTCTTTCCTTTTTTTTCTCTGGAGCAGGGCGACCCCTCGGTTATTGTGGGACAGGATTGAACTCTTCACCCTTCGTCCACCAGCCAAGCACACAGGAATTGTAAACTAAGAACAAGGACCATTTTTGCCGAAAAAAGGGAGAGGGCACCAACTTCACTGAGCATTTAAGGCTACAACTTTTGGTGGTCCCTTGAAGTTCCAGCCTACGTGAAACGATTGTCATGAGGGATGATGCAGAGGCGCACCGTTGGTTTCCATTCGATTTGCATTCTTTGAGACCGTGGAAGCCCATGCCGTGTAGTCGTCCTTGAGTTGCTGAAGAAAGAGAGGGACAAGCCTTTCAAGCAATGCTTGAAGCAATGTATTTCCTGGGACCTCCACTGCAGAAATTGGCAGCATGGTAAAGGGTAGAGTAAAGACTTCTAGAGAAACCGATAAGTTGACATCATTCTTGAGTAAGAGCTGCCGAGAACCCATCGGCTCCCAATGGAGACGATTGGAAAGACTTGCAGAGAATCTCCTGTTTATTTCGTGAACCTGATTGGAACCCTCGAATCTGCAGGAGAGCATCTCCACCAGGCAATCAGAGTCTGCAACAGTCACTTGCAAGTCAATGACGGGTGTGACAGCTATTCCAAAGAATTCTGTTGTCCCAAGGTAACACCGGTACAGATCGTCCTCCAGAGGTTCGATCTTCCTGAGAGCCCTGGCATTCAACATGCTCTCTCTGCCTGCTGGCTGGCGGAGAAATGAGCTTAGTGCATATGGCTTCCCTGACGCCTCAACATTCCCAGATAAGGTGAAACGTGAAACGCTGCTCTTGGATGCCGAAAGGTTGGCTATCTTGGCCTCATCTGTTGATTCAGCGGTGGCAACAACATGTCTACCTGCAGATGGAAGCTGCTTCAATGACATCCTCCGCAGCCTCTGCCAATCATGCCCATTCGACTTGCCCTGCCTCAGCTCTGCCCCTCCACGAGGCCCCCAGTGAGAAAACAACTCCCTCCACGAAGGGGCGCAAAATTTTCCTGCCAGGGAAACCATGTTTCGGGCTGCAACCTTAGAGTGACCCCGCAGGAAATCCTCTTTGGTCGTGGAATGTTTGGCGCTATTACGAAGATGACACTGTACCCTCAAGATGAGTTCATGATCCGTGGTCGTGAGAGTTTGTTTGCAAATTACCACAGAGGAGTAAGAAGGAATTAGCATGGCCCTGCGGCTGCTGCTACTGCTGCTTTTATAGCTACAGCAAAAGGCTCAGACTAATTTCACCCTCAAAGGATTCAGGTTCTGGAGGAGAGTAAACGTAGCCCAACATTTCCGAAGACCATGCACGGATTGCAGCTGAGATGAAATCCAGGAACTGCAACAGGATCAATCTGTACAATCACACCGTGGAAAAACCAGACAAATGCAAGACCGAGGCGGGCTTTCTCAGTATCATACAAGCAGACATTGATGAGAGAGAACTTATGGGTCCAGCTCGACAGAATCCTGCCCGGTTACCCCGGGCTGGTGGTCAACAGACTGGAGAGACAGTACCCGACAAACAAAATCCTGAAATGGATTTTACCAATGCCGGAGTTCCTGTCCCACCACATCGGAATGATGACAGCCATTCTGGATGTGAAAACCGAAGACCCAGTGGTTTTCCACACAGAATGAACACTCCTGATCAACGACAAAGCCGTTGACATCACAGTATCGACCAAGGCATTTCCCATCTGCTTCAGGTGCAGAGAGAGAGGGCACACAGGGTCGGGCCCTGCATGCCTCAAATTCCCGAAACAGCAGAGAGAAAGGAAACTCCACCCCAACATGCTGGTCGAGGTACAGGACGCCCCGAGGACCTGGTACATTGTCGACCCAACCTACGATGGATGGGTCTTCGAGGACAACCTGGACGAGCCGGAATGGATCTGGCATTTTACAGACAAAGAACCAGCAACAAAGAAGCCAGACATCTTTCTTCCCCCCGACAGCAGGTGACAAAAGAAGGCAACAGGGAAGGAGACAGGGAACCCAACAAAAATCAAGGCAATTCCCCTCAATGATTCCAGGGTAATCAGGGAGGAAAAAGCAAGGGAAAACCTGCCTTGGGACCTGGACTCAGTCCGGGTACAGATGGAGGAGGAATATGAACAACAACCAGAAAAAATTCAAGAGAGAATCTCCAAATTCATCAGCAGCAAAGAAGAAGAGGCAAAACAAGCCTCTAACAAAGAGGCAAAACGAGCACGGACGGACAGCAAAAGATCCATGGAGAAGGAAGAAAGGATCAAAGAAGGAGAAGAACCAGATTCAAAGAAAAGGAGGGGACTGGCAAAGGACAACAGCGATAATCAACCGAAGATCCCCGAGGGGGGGAAACCGTCAAGCCTAGCAACAAAGGGGGAGCAGGGGCACAGCAGCAGCGCTGCTGATACCAGTGCAAACTTCGCTACCTCGGCATCCTCAAGCGAGGAAGACGAGGCATAAAAGAGATCCCTCCAATGGTTGAGAGACTACATCAGCAAAGCCAAAGCTGATCGAGAACACCTCTTCGACATCCGAACGACCTGCATGAAGCACATGGAAAGGACACAGAATCAGAAAAAGGGGACAGCAGCAGGGCTTAAGATGACATCTAGCCAAGATGATCTGCTGGTATAAGAAGAGGAATTTTCCGAATAGGGAATTAAGGATAAGGATATGACGCAGGTGGGCACAAAGGACGCTCTTTAGGACCTGAGATCCAAAAAGCGGAAGACTGCCATGAACCCAAGAAAAAAGGGAATCTCCACAGGCCAGACTGGAACAGAACACGCAGAAAAATCAGCAAGGTCTGAGTTGGAACAAGAAATTGCAATGGTGGAAGCACAGGCCGAAAAACTGAAAAAGTTGAACAAGGACTACGAACCTGAGTTTTTTTTCTCTCGGACACATAGCGGAAGGGAAGGCTCCTGAGGTGCTAGGACAAGCACAAACAGCAAAGTTGACCCTGATGGGAACCCGCCCTCTCCTGGCGGCATGCTATGTAGAAGAGAAGAAAGAATGGCAGGTTGCCACAGACGTACCCTTCACAATCCCCAAGATTGACGAAGGACAGAATGTGGCGTCCATCCTCCATGAGAAAATCCCACCAGCCTATCTGCTGGCCGTTTTTTAGATTGAATCTCCGGTGGGGCAGCCCGGTCATGGAATGCAAGAGACACCGTAGGCAGGACATGAAGGCACTGGCAGCCGGACTGACCCCGAAGAATCACAAGCAGACCAAACAGACCCCAGGTCTCACAGATCTTTTACTCCCCTCATTGAAAAGATGCCTAAGGGTGCCAAGTTGAGAGGAGGGATGATAGTGCCTTTGGAACACGTTGACGACTATCCCATACAACGTGCTGTCTGGGATAGGCATCCCCGCTGAACTGCAAGCTGCCTCTCTGGTAGAATTAATCAGCAAGGGAATCTTCACAGGGGATCACGATCTAGAGCATGTGCAATAGACATGGAAATATACTGTAGGGATGAGTGCTCGGAAGAAGAAATGGAAGATGAGACAGATGAATGGGCTATGGAGAGATATGAGTCAGATTTGAAGACATCTCCGGGCAAAGGGATCAGCGACAGTATTCGTGAGTACAGAATGGACGAATCACCACCCAGTACCGAGGCTGATCCTCCGGGGGCGTCCAACGAGTCAATGGAGACCCGGGGGATCGGGAGCTTCCTAGATTAACAACCCCAGATTCCGGCCTGACAACGTTAGTCATCCAACCCTCTCCACGAACCAAGTGAGAAAAGAGGCCAGCGAGAGAGGATGAAAGGTAAATTGGAGGACACAAGGAATCACGGTTCGAGGCTGGAACATCAACGGCCTAGGTAACATTCTCATTAAAGAAGACAAACTTAATGACATTATCAAAGGACTTAAAGATGACTCAAATAAACTAGCTGATATCATTCTCCTACAAGAAACGCACTTAACCAATTCAGAGGACCACAAAACGATCAAAACGTTTTTTACAAAGAAGCTAGGGGGGTTCAATGACCAGGTATGGGCATCAGATAACAACTCGAGCACAAAGGAGGCAACTATCCTAATACCAAAATCGTCAAGATTTTACACAGCAGGAACGGTGTAAGAGAAGCAAGAGGACATCGAAGCGGGAAGATGGCGCCTGATGGATCTGAAATGGAAAGAAGAAGAATTCAGAATGATTAACATCTACGCACCAAACAACCAAGCAGAGATATCAGAATTCATATTATCAATAGGGACGCTAGTGACACCTCTAACTGCCTGCATAATACCAAGGGATTGGAACGCGGCTCTCGATCCCAATAACGACAGAATCTCACGAACAACAACATCCCATGCATCCCCCGGTGCTCAAACTCATGATGAACCATAGTTTGAAAGACCTTCCACACACTACATCCAGGTAAAAAAACCTTTTCGTTGATAAAGAAGAACCATGCTCACCACACGGCTTTCTTTCGGATCAACTATTTCCTTGCCTCTGAACATATGATGGGTACCATCAAGGAGGCTGGCATTTCGAGACTCGCCCCATACATGGGACTGGACCACAAACCCATTGAGTTGATCCTCAGTTTTCATCAATACATCATGAAAGGCACCAACTTTCACAAATTGAATAATTTTCTCCTCCTAAGCCAAGTTTTCCAAGATGAGATACGGGAGTGTTGGCAAAATTTGAGGGGCTCATTCTTAGAGGGACAAGACATATGGGAATGGTTCCAAGATAACTACCTCTTGTTGACACAATCATCAGCACACATTTCAAGGAAATTAGCTAACAACCGAAGGATGAGGAAGCAATCCCTAGAGATGTCACTAAAGATCGTCGAAGCCAAGCTAGAAAATGACCCCTCCTCCACCCTTCATTCAAACACTTTTGAAAAAGCGAGGGAAGAACTGGCAATATGAAGGCCATGGGAACTGAGTGGGCTACAGATTAGAGCAAGAATGATGGAGTATGAATTGAATAAATCAATGACCAAACACTTCTTCACGAGAATAAAAGCTAACAAAAGGTCAAATGCAATTGAAGGACTCAAAGAACTCACAAACTAACAACACAGAAGGACATAGAGTGATCGTATGTTGGAAATAGCCAAAGGATTCTTCCAGGTTTTATACCAAACAAAAACTTAAACCCCTCCCTTCAAGGCCGTACGAGAGGTGAGATCCAGAATGCTACAATTCCTCAACAAGACAATCTCTACGGAACAAGCAGTGGAGCTAGACAAACCCATCATTTTGGATGAATTGAAGTTTGCAGTCCATAGCATGAACAATGACGAGTCACCAAGGTTGGACGACCTAACCAAGGAGTTCTGCGAACAATTTTGGCCATTGATGGGTAATGATCTCTTCCACTTTTACAAGGACAGTTGGGCAAAGGGAGGTATGGGAGAATTGCTAAGCAGCAGTGTAGTGACCCTTCTATACAAAAAAGGAGACTGAGAGTATATACGAAATTATAGGCCAATATCACTACTCACCCTTTCGTACAAGATCCTGGCCAAAGCTCTAGCACACAGGATACTGGTTCTCACGGACAAATGCTTTCACATAGACCAAGCCCGATTTATCCCAGGGTTGTGACGAACTGTTTTTTGCAACCGCGTGACTTTCTGCGCAAGGCTACTTTGGGGGTTGAATCGGGATGGCCTGTTGGATTGCATGAGTGCCCTTGCTTTTCTTGTTTCTCTTGAATTAAGGCGGGCATAGTCCCACGACAGTTGGTAGTTGATCGGGCCTTAGCGAGCGCGGAAGATAACTGTTGTCAAAGCTTCTTTTTTGTTTTGCTGCGGGAAATGAGAATTTTGGCGCGATCGTCGCGTGGGAAAATCTTTTTGAATTTTCAACTGATGTCGAGCCCCTGCGGGCTCTTGGAATTTGCTTCGCTCATAATTTCTTTTTGCAATTAGGATTTAGACTAGGAATTTGGGCGCATCACAATTTCTGCTGCATGGCGCTTCCTGCTTGCACACGCTTTGCGGCGTCAGGACCTGTGCTCTGACTTTTCCGCGCCTTAATCTTACGTGTAACTGTATTATTTTCTCAGCAGGCGCGATTGTAACTGTAATCCCTCTTTCTTGATATCTCTGCCGCACCCCTGCGCGCATATACTTTTTCTCTGTCCTATTGGCCCGAACGATTGCATGACTGGATCGATGCGTGGAGAGAAGCTACGTGCCCCACACCGGGGCCTGGCCATGCAGTCGTAGGCACTTCCTTCCTCCTCCTTCCTTCCCACTCAAGCACAACCCCGGGTATCTCGTGCAAGCATGCATGCTATAAATTTCGCAAGCGCAATTAACTCGCTCTCTATGAATTTTGGAGTTAGCGCGGTCGAGAGGATCGATTAACGAGCAAGAGTTGGAAGGTGAGTAGAGAGTTGGGCGATCCGACGAGTTGGTGCTGGGTATGCAGGGTTGACGTGGGGCCGTGACGGACTGTGGCGCATGGGTGAACCTAGCTTGCATGCTCGGACTAAGTGGGGTGACAACTCTGTGTGGGTGCGAGGCGACGGTCTGCCCGCATCGTGATACTGTGAACGAGAGAGAGAGAGAGAGAGAGAGAGAGAGAGAGAGAGAGAGAGAGAGAGAGAGAGAGAGAGAGAGAGAGAGAGAGAGAGAAGACGGGATGTGTTGGAG